GCGATTGTTACACAAAGGTAATGAAACTATTTTGCCGGATTTAAATCGCGTATATTTGTTTTTTCGAACAAAACAACTTTTCGGGCCCTTTACAGGTATTTTGGTCACGTTGATAAATGCATTACTTTCAGTTGCTAAAATCATTGTCTTCGATAGGTCCATAACATGTTACAATGAAACAAAATTCAAACTTCTTACATGGTCATTCCGTATGTCATCCATTCTGATCACTCCACACAGTCATCTTAACTTTCGCATCTCTGTACCATGCAATCGTCCTACATTATTTCCCTTAATACTCCAACATTCCGATTCATACAAGACAAATCTAATAATCATCTCATATCCTTACTGTTTAAGAAGCAATCAGGATTCGCACGTTGTTCCCCGTAGACACCATATGTTGAATATTTAAATAACATTTCACGTATGAGAAACGTCGAGGATTAGAAACTTCGTTAAGACTTATTTCAAGGAAACAGCGTATGTTTGGTAAAAGCGGCATATGGTTCATAATTTCGTATGGAATTTATAATACAAACTGTGTGGCTTCCGAATGATAGAATTGAGAGATGGTTTCAATGTTGTTTTAATATGTATCTTATTTCTGGAATTATGAAGTCAAAATATTACATTATTTATGTTAAAGAAGTTTTTGGTCACGAGTACTGTGTTTCCAGTGTTACGTTCCGTGACGTTTGTAGCGCCAAAGATACAGCCATACTCGTTCCAATTACGCAACCAAAGTATTCGGCTCCGAATATTTGGACAGTGGGCGTTCTATTTGTGGTAAGTCTTCGAGGACAGTGTTTTCGATTAATCAAATTTAAAAAAAAATCACAATGTGTCAGACAACTACACCAAGTAACTGGTCTCCAACTAAGGAATAAATTGTACTATGAACACTAGGGCAATGAAATTCACCCCAGAACACTCACCAGAACAGCCGACCAGTGTCACTTCAGAAAAGTTACCCAGAACACCCCGACCAGTACCAATTTCAAAAATTTGTTTCTCAAATTGGTCATACCATAAAATAATGTGTCACATAACAACCCTCTCAAGCGTTTATGAGGCAATATAATGTTTTATGTAAATATCTTGATATATTCCACCAGAGCACTGACATATTTGTAAAAACTATAAAACGCCCAAATTATGTTGAAGCACGAAAACACATTAGAGCGAATTAATCATTACTGAAAGTATACATATTTTCTATTGACTTAATTAGTCATATCCATTATGTTGCAAAATGTTATTTGCATATTGTGCGCGGTTGTTACTGATATAGAAATTTATTTGTTTTCGTTATAGTGTCATAGTTTTACTTGTATTGCAAGATTTGTGTTTAGTAAGAGTGCCAAAACAAAAAATAAAATACTGTGGAAATAGATTTAGTAGCCGTAGAGCTCCTTGTGAAAAAATTCGTCCAGGGTAGTACTATCACTTTACCTATTTCTGCCGTCAAGCAGTAATGTGAGCATTATTGCATTCCGGTTTAGAAGGGTAAGGGTGCTGGTGGAATTACAGGCACATGGGAATTATCAACCTGTCTCAGGGCGATGGGCGCAGTGGCAGTGCCCATAAGATCTTTGCGATTTAAAGGTCTGAATGGCACTGCAACTGTTTTGAATAGGTGTGTCGCTTACCACCAGGCGACCACGATTTGTTCGTCCTGTCACTTAGTATTATAAAAAATAAACGAAAAAGCAAAGATCCCGAGTCTACCTCATTAAGTGCCTAAAATGAAAACCGTTCGGCTACAGAGGTCGTCACATCTGTGTGTTGTGTTAAATTTGTATCAATTTATGAAATAGACGAAACACAAGTTTTTATTTCTTAAAATTTCCAAGAATATATTTGTATTTTCGTAAATGAATACTTTTTAAATATTATTTTTTCCAGCATGTATAATCCAATGTCGTTCACACCGTTCTCACGAAACACTAAAGTTGCGGTATTAAATAACAATGATAGCCAACTTCGAATAATATAGCTACATAATAAAATATACTGAAGTGCTATTTGATGCTGAAACTACACCAATAGCCACCCATAACCAACACAAGTTCGCAGTCTTCCATTTACTCCCCCTTTAAGGTCCTGAATACCGCTCTTACACAGCTCATATTTACGCTTTGGAATTTTTAATATCGCTGCCTCTGTCGTATCTCTACAAGGGCTTTAAGGGTTTTCGACGTCTGCAATTTATTGACAGTCCGTGTTTTTTAGGGAAATGGTCTTTTTGAGCTTAGGGAATACAAAGTTTTTGGATCGACATGTGATTTATTGCCGAAATTCTACGTTAAAATGTACACTACTTTAAGAGGTTATGATCAAAGTTTAAAATACTAATTTACATCGAATTCTTAAGTTCTAAATCGTGTAATTTGTTGTTTCAAATAAAGCAACATGTGGACCACTTTACAAGTCCCACGATCACGGGTGACTGATATAGTACTAGTAATCAATCAATTATTATGTCTAATATTAATGCAAACCACCCTTTCCGTAATTGACTTTATTTCAAAATTTTGACTTAGTAAAATGCATTTTTTTTTAAATATATTGCAAATTGTATTTAACACAAATCGGAAAATGAAAAATTATCAAAATTAATTTATCAAACAAATGATCTCCTCTTCCAAACTAAATAGCTTTACAATCCTGTCACGTCTTTCCTACTTTGGAAAAGCGACTTAGTTTCCGATAAAAATTTCAGAAGTTCCCTTAAAGTGTTAGCATAGGAGAAATTTCTACAGAATATATTTTTCGTAACTGCGAAAAATAAACAAGATTAAAATTACAAGGCATAGAGTGGCGAGCCGCGCATAAATCTTTGCGCAAAGCCGCGCTGAATAGCCACTCCTATATTTATAACTGCAAACTCGTCTGAGCTACCACCTAAAGCTTTTAAGGCATCACTATAGAGTGATAATTATATAACGACACCCTAAAATACAATAAAGAATGTTACACACATGTCTCTTGCCGTACATTCTCTACGAAATTATAGCGAAGATTTTTCACACTAATTCATGTTAGTACCAATAGGAAGATGATTTTGATAAACCAGAAACAAAATCATGTTCTTGGTGTTACCTAGGCTCAAACTAGGGAATTCGCTACACAATGGGTACTAGAGTTGTTGGCGACACACCTTGTTTTTTTATATACTTTTTTTATTACATGACAAGTTCCATGTGCCTGTAATTTCACCAACACCCTTACCCGTCCATACCGGAACACAGTAATCCTCACATTACTGCTTGGGTAACAGGTAAAGTGGCAGTACTTCTCTGGACGAACTCTTTCACAAGGCGTTCTACCATTTCTTAAGGACAATAAAAAACTACATTATACAAAAGCATAATAAGCTATAAGTTCATTTCGTTCTCAGTAGTATAATTTTATTATATCTCGTAGGCGTAGAGCCTATCTGGATTTGCAATACCATCTGAGTCATGTTTGCATTTGAAAGCAGTCTCATTCCACTGGATTTTAGAATGCTTTTGTAACGTAATGAGACCTATAATCGTTTTTGTTTGTTTCCTTTAAAAAAAAAATGATGAACAGTATTATGCAAAACCTAGTCCAATATTTTTACGCGGTATTAAAACCAATAGTACAGTTTTACTCTAGTCGTAAAATGTTTCATTGTTCATATCACGTTGACCCATCCGTTGTTGCAGGATTCGTACAACGTTAAAACTTTATCAAAAAACACTTGACTAAAACGACTGGAAAACACTACCAATAAACCTACTTATTTCAAAAGCCATAAAGATGTCCGAATGTAACATACACTACATCACACTAAAACCATAATATCTCATAAAAGCTTGTAAATACCTCGCAACCCACCCCGTCTGGTAAACTGCAGTAATTCCTGACAGTGTGCAGTTTCGCAGGGCGTTGCTCTTGGCAACACTGCCAGACATGCCAGACTAGACGGAGACGCTGTCCGAATTTATCTTTTTTAGCGCAAACTATTCACAAGCTGGCACATTTATAACTGACAATATAGTTTTTAAGCTGGCTGTTAACGAACTTCGTTTTTAAAATTTTATTTTAGGTCAATATTCTGAGGCTTGAATTCTATAAAAAAAATACAGAAACGCACTACTAGTAACGGTGTTCTGTGCAGGGAATCCCAAATATACTGATACTACGTAGTTTATTCTTTCCTCTAACTGCCTCCGTGGCCGAACGGTTACCATGCCAGACTGCCACGCAGAGGTCCCAGGTTCGATTCCCGGGCCGAGAGAAATAGTTGTATGGCCTACAATTATTTCTCTCGTGAGTTTGGGTGTAATTTGTGGTTGTCTATGTGTGTGTCCATTGCACCCGCGACACAGGGTTTGCCTAGTGCGGGGCTATGTTGAGTGTGTGCGTTATTTATTTATTTATTATTATTTATTTTCACCGCCAATCGCCGTTACTAAAATTACTCCGAAATTGCTAATTTAAAGTCACATATTCACTGTTGCCGTGACACAAGAAAATTTTTTAATTATAAAATATTAGCCATACCACAGGGCGACATCCGCATGTCATCGTTACATAATTAACATATATGTAATCTTGGAACCACCATGCAGAACAAATACACTTCGGTGACCGTGTATTGATTTATGGAATACCTAACGTATGATTGTATTTCGATAAAATATCGATCGTCATGTTCTATTCTGGTACTAACTTTGCGTTGAATGTTTATCTACTTTACGAGACAAAAGAGACACTACAATATGTACCAAACGTTAAACAACTAGATAAGAAACTTTATATATTTTGCTGGAAACAAAAATAAATGTTGAAAATTTACAAGATTTTTTTTTCTTTGATTAACTAGAAATTAGACAAGAGGTCTAGCTCTTCAAGTACTTGTAGAGACTCTGGTTTACCTAAATATACGCGTTGTAATACTTCCCGTCTACCATATCTCCTACACGATATTGCTATTACTATAGCGTGTATAGAAAATAATTACTCACCTGTCTGGCCGTAAGCGAATATGCAAGCGTTGTATCCGTCAAAGGCATTGTCCAAGATGTCGCGGCCGAGGCATTCGAAGACAGTCTTCTGTGAAGCGAAGTGGTTCAACGCAGGGTCCAGGGAGTAGAAGCAGTGATCGAAGGCAAAAGTCTTTGGCTGTTTTCTGGAACAATACAGAGAATAAAATAAGTTTTGTTACTTAATCCATGGGATGATTTTACTGTATTACACTCGAGTTAAAAAAAAAACAAAGTTTTTAGCTGTTGTTCCTGGAATACTACCGACAGTAAAATCAGATTTGTTACTTAATCAATGAGATGCTTTTGCTTTATCACAGAAAGTATTACACTCGGGTAAAAAAATCAATATATTTCAGTCGACAAAGCTATATTGCCACTATTAGATATTATTATTATTTTATTGCGAATACTGACTCGGTGAGGTACCGCACCAAAACAGCGTCATTGGTTCGTTTGTTTACTTGTGAATTAACCATTGTTATGCATTTTTAACCAATTTAAAAAAAGGGGGAGGTTTTCAATTCGACTGTATGTTTTTTTTTGTATGTATGTTACGCGATAACTCCGGTATTTATGAACCGATTTTCAAGTTTCTTTATTTTTTGGAAAAAGGGACCTCCCACAGTTGGCCCATTTAATTTTGAAGAAAATCATCCACCTCTAAGGGAGGCATGAAGATTCCTTTTTATAAGTAGCGCCTAAATTTTATTATACGGAGCAATTATTTTAATGGTTGATTTTGCTATTCTTCAATTCAAGGCGTTTTTCTCTCTCAATATAGGTACTTTGAGTAGTGAGAACCGATTTTTACTATCTCCTGTGTCAAGTCCCGTATAGTGGCGAACTAGTGGATGAATTCGGGTTTGCGCACTTTCCGGTAACGGATTTCAATAAGACTTGGTAATTATTACGTATTGCGTTTCTTAATGATAATGATTTTTTTATTTTATTGAGGGACTGTTACTGTTTAAATTGATAGCGCTATATGCAATGCTCAATAAATACACAAGAAAAACGCCGGAAAACTTTCAAACGCTTTCAAAATTTTGTAAAAGCCACACGCAATGTTTGCGAAAAATGTAGAAGAAAATCCATCTCGGCTTATTTTACAATTTTCCAACAACTCGTTCGTAACCTTTCGCCATTTTTGCTAAAACATAATATAATACACCCATTAGACAATTTTACATTATATTATTTATACTCTCATAATCATTTTTTAGTATTTTAAATTTTTACTTTCGACTAAATTATCATTATTATTTCAGTGACTTTTATATTATGTATTTTGAATATTTTGACATTTCGATTTAAAAAATTTTAATGTATAAATAAATTCACCGTATAGTCATTTATTACTAATATAGTACAAGGTTGCTTACTAACAAACTATGGACCTATGGTGTCTGAAAATAAAAGATTTTTATTTAATTTTTTATTTTATAATGTATTAAAAAATATTCTACTGACGTCTTTCCAATAACTAATATATAACAACCTCTATTCTTGTCATTTGTAAAGTGCGATAAAGAATATCTCAACATTTCCTTCATTCATAAATCATAAAACAATTTTTCGGAATAATAATATTGTTTGCTTACTAAACAAACTTCGTTTTCTCAATCGTTTCCGAACAAAAAGCATGGGCAGTTAAAAGTTTGTATACAATAAGATAAAAACTTTTCAGATAGCCTGGACGAAAACAATAAAGTTTCGCTTTTTCCCTCTCACTGAAGCTAGAAAGAATCCAGTCGCCTTTGTAATGATTTACTGTGTTACTTCTGTTGACTGAGCTCGATAAAAAAATAATGAGTGTTTCAAATACAATTAGCATGTCGCGCATCGGCTTCCATAGCAAAAACTCCTACATTCTTTAGTGGCGTTATATATGCGTACACTAACTTTCGTTTTCGGTAAAAATAAAAAAAAAAATGTGGCAACATTATGAAGTTACACGACGTCAATTCTGACGACTGACTGGAAGGGTAATTAAACTGCCTCCGAGACCGAACGTTTACCATACTGATGTGTCACGCAGAGGGTCCGGGTTAAATTCCCGGACCGGGAGAAATATTTCTATGGCCTACATTTATTTCTCTCGTGAGTGTGTCCATGGTACTCGCGATACAGGGTTTCCCTAGTGCGGGGCTATGAGTGTGCATTATTATTATTACTTTTTCGAAATCAGCATATCTTATGGATGCAATAATCAATGGCAGTCTCTTATGGAGCTCAAGCTTTCTAACCGTACATAGTCACATCAACTTAAGAGTGTCTTTTTCTAAATGTGACTATTCCAAATGGAATTGGAATAGTCACATTTTAAAATCATGGTTTTTTTAATGGAATAGTCACAAATCACAAACATTAACGCACAATAATAATAACGCACACACTCGATATAGCCCCGCACTAGGGAAACCCTGTGTCGCGGGTGCCATGGACACACACATAGACAACCACAAATTACACCCAAACTCACGAGAGAAATAAATGTAGGCCATACAAATATTTCTCCCGGCCCGGGAATCGAACCTGGGACCTCTGCGTGGCAGTCCAGCATGGTAACCGTTCGGCCACAGAGGCAGTGAAACAACACACGGAATATCATAGCAAATTTGTGTAATATGCAAAGTAAAAACCAGACTAGCATTAACAAAAACAAAATGTTATCGTGGCATCAGCAAACCGTTCGCCGTAATTGAACGCCCTAACGAACGTAACTTTTAATTAATCGTTGGTCCCACCCTCGTCGACGGGGACATCAGTGTCGCCCTCCGAAATATATAAAAATTAGTAGTAATTGTTATACATTTTCCTTGACAAAATTTTTTCGACGTTTTGTTTTAGTTATACAGTTCGTGTATAGCCTACAACTTACAGTAAATAACAACGTCATTAAAAATGTTTGTAGTTAAATCATTTCAAAAACAACAGCGTAATAATTGTTGATAGAATTATTTAAATGATTAGTCTATTTATAGCCCCAATGATGGGCACAGGCCTTCTCTCACAAGAGCTGTAGTTCCCGTTCGGGCTCAATGCGGATTGAGAACTTCACAAACATCATTAAATTTGCTTTGCAGAAGTATGCAGGTTTCTTCACGATGTTTTCTTTCGCCGAAAAGCTCAAGGTAGATTTCAAATTAAAATCCCGAGGTACGAACTATCTCTCTACTAGAGAGGCAGTAGGGCAAACCATTAGGCAACCACGGATAGTATTTTTAGCGTCCTTAAAAGTCGTAATTATAATTTGTATACAATAACTTCACTATGACTATAGGACTGCCTCCGTGACCGAATTTGTATCGCCTACATTTATTTCTCACGTGAGTTTGGGTGTAATTTGTGGTTGTCTATGTGTGTGTGTGTCCATGGCACTCGCGACAAAGCGTTTCCCCAGTGCGGGGCTTGTTGAGTGTGTGCGTTATTATTATTACTATTTATATATATTATAGTTTGTTATATTTATATATATTATAGTTTCTTTTTTAATATACTAAAGACTTGTCTAAGTTTGGAAATAAGATCGTATCTACATATCACAAATGACTAATTAGTTTTTTATTGTTATAACTTAAGCTACTACGGGACAGACGTTGGGTTATGGACCTGTTATTTCTATACAACATTATAAATAACAAGACTAAGTGTTCCGATCTTCTCAACAAAATTAATCTTGCTGTAGCTTATAACTATCCCAGACAACCAGTACGAAAAGTGTTCAATATTCCGAATCACAGGACTAATTTAGGTTTTCATTGGCCCCTGTCCAGGGTATGCCGCGAATATAACGAAAGCACTCATAAGGCTCCTTTCATAGATGTTTTCAGTGATTCGCCAAATGTTTTTAAAATGAAACTGCTGCATTATTTAAATGTCGCATAGGCTCTGTTAAGCCTCCCGTTTGCATTTTTTAACTTGGAATTTATTGTTAATGTTTAGATAGTTCTTGGCAAATGTTGTATATGCCTATAATTGGCAAGCATATTTATATTGATACCACTGTTTGTTAAAGTGTTATGATGCGAATTGTTATATGTTTTGCTGGTGGTGTACCTTTTATAAAAAAATAAATAAATAAGCTCATTATGTTTAGTCGATTTCAATATTTTAGCGTTGCATTAGTATACGTATGAATGTTATTAAATCTCAGAATGGCTATGAACATAGAACACTACAATATTACATTCTAATGAAAAATAATAATAAATACAATAATACTGAAATAGAGTATGCCAACAACACCCAGAAAAAAAAAACAATTCCTAGTCATATCGAGTTTTTAGGTATTCGCGATTGTTACACTTAGGAAATGAAAAAAAATTCCTAGTCTTCTTAAAATAGTAGACTCAAGAACTCTGTACTTGAATTTGAACTCTATACTTTTCATGTTTTTTGACAAAAAAAGACTACGGCAACATTTTTTTAAGTATGTGCGCGTTTGACCTCCATCTTACCCGATGGAACGTGACGGTGAGGTTGATGATGGAGCATGCACACCTAAATAATGCCATGTTTTAAGAGGCCTAAGTCACGGCATTCAGGAAATAAGTCCGCTGGCAGTCGATTCCCCGTTCGCCACATAAATGTGGAAGCGTAAAGCTTCATGATAATTCTTAGAATATCTACAACAATAGGGTGGAAACCCCAGCCTACGTACAGTCCCCCGATGACGGAAAAGGGGAAGGCGGAATTAAATGTGCAATTCCATCTCACATTCTCCGTGATATATCCTACAGAACAACGATAAGCAGGCAACTTTACAACTGTGTCAAAGAATCTATAGTTCCGACTCTAGTAAATCCGAGAAACCTATTGACCTCTTGACACGCTTTTCAACTGAATTTAAGTAATAGTTATTTGACAAAGGATATAGTTGCAGGATGCGGTCTTTAAATTAATTAAAAATAATAAAACTTTTAAAAAATGATAAAACTTCTAACGTTAAGTCCTTAGCGTTTACAAGCCTGCAAACTGGCGATAGCGCTTCAATTTCCCGCTTTTATGATCAACCAACGTGCGGCAAGTGGGTTGACTGAGGACACCTTCAGAAAGTCGTTAACGCCGATCCGCTATTCAAACGCAATTAAAACTGGACATTTCGAAGAAATATATAATATAAATAAGTTTGAACGACTTG